CCCCCCCCCGTCTCACCAAGATGGTTTTCCTCGATTCGGCAGAGCTTCGTCCTCCCCCTCTGCCTCTTGCAGCAGCCAATCAGTGAGAAACGGCCACGCCGAGCGAAAACTGTGCACCCATCTTTGCCCTTTGCCCGTTGCATGTAGAGTCGTGGAGTTGCTGGACCACACGGCAGCGAAGATCTTGTACGATGGCCGGCTGTTCTTGTTGCTTTCCCCGACCCAGGACGGCGGGAGCTGGGGAGCCTTCAAGGCATCCATTCGTTCCTCCTTCTTGCTCCTCTATGCCGACGAGCCGTCGCCACACGCATCTCCTGTCTTCCCTACTGACAATCAGCAGCAGCAACAGCACCAGCAAATCGACAGGTGGGCAGACCACTGATCTCTTCATCTTTGCAATGAGGAGTCGAGAATTGTCGCTTGTCCGTGCTGGTCTGTCTGTCTGTCTGTCTGTCTGTCTGTCAGCAGTGTGGAGACCGCCATCCTTCTCGATGGCTGCCACGCTGACCTCGCTGAATTGGGGCCTGAATTCGAGGACTCAGACCACCAGATCGCTCTGCAAACCAACCCCCAATGGACCAGCCGCTTCGTTGCCTCCGTGTCAGGACCCTTCTTCCCCTTCTATGTGTCTCTCGTCAAGGAGGACTCTCCTCGTGGCTCATCTGGGTATCTGTTTCTGGCCCGCTCATCTGCCGAGAGAGACAACTGGCTGCGGCTGATCAACGACCCCTTCTCTCGCGTGACGCTGAGCCACGCGCAGTCGTCTGTTGTCGCCATCGGCCGCAAGCCGCCGCTTCGCCTGGTGGATGGCGGCAGACGGGCTGATGCCGCCTGCTGGGACGTCACTCGGCTGGAGCGGGAGGTGGCCGGCCTGCAGAGGAGCCTGGGCAAGCGCAACACAGAGGCGGCGTCCTGCCAGGCGGCGATGCAAGAGCTGCTGAATGAGAAGACGGCCCACATTGAGAGACTGCGAAGGGAATACGGGGCGATGAAGGAGAGGCTCACAGATCTAATGCGGGCCGACGAGCAGCGGCTGGCAACGGTGCAGAGGTACGACACGCGCATCGCTGCGCTAGAGGAGGACAACCGGCGGCTGAGGCATGTCATCAGCCAAGTGGAGGAGGAGAACTCCCGCGTCAAGGATGACATCGAGTGGTCCTGGGACGATGACCAGGGAGAGCAGACGACAGCGGCTGTTGGGCAGCCAGAGGGGAGAGACAGCCAGGTGCCGACGTCCACCGCCGCGCGCATCGTCAAGCTCAGGACGGCAAACGCCGAGCTGAGGGCCGAGAACAATCGGCTGAGGTGAGTGAGACACGAACACACACACCTTGATCAGACTTCTTTGTGTCTGGTCTGTTGGCAGGAGTGTCCTGTCTGATAAGCGACACGACGAGAAGGACTGCCTGGCCCACATTGAGAGTTTCCTGGACGAGCGGCAGGGGCTGTCGCTGCTGCGGCTGCTGATGGACAAGAGTGCCCTCCTCGTGAGACACACAAGGACGCCAGAGACAGACAGACGGTTTGTCCGTGTGTGTGTCTGTCTGTAGGGACGGCTCACTCAGCGAGGCCTGACGGCCATTCAGAAGGAACACACCCACAGAAGGCATTCAAGAGACACAGAGGAAACGAAACACACATGTGCACGATGCGGCATGATGTGTGTGCGTGTTCGTGTGTGTGTGAATGCAGGTTGGCAGCGGTTTCGGCTGAGTAGGATGTGTGTGTCAAGGAGGTCGAGTCGAGACATTTGCAGCTCCGGACACTCTTGCTGGAGACGGAACTGAGGTAGCCTACTTGCGTGTGACAGTGGCTCACTCCTGCACCCGCCTCTTGTCTATCAGCCACTGGGAAGACTCGGTGCCGCCTGCACTGCACAAGGGACATCCGCCGCATTTGTCCATCGTCGAACAGGTCGGCACCGCTCATTTGTGCCGCACATCTTTGGTGTGTGTTGTAGGCTGTGTGTGTGTGTGTTGTGATTGGCAGGTGGTCAAGTATCAGCAAGAGATGCTTCGAATTGCGACTGGAGAAGCGCACGGGTGAAACAGTTGCATTGAGACGTTATAGCGTCGGTTTGTGCAATGCGATTTGCCGTGTGACTTGTGAGATTGGCCATTTTTGACATGAAAATGCACCCGTACGTGCGAGGCAGACAGGCCAACGCGCACTTCGTCCATCCATCCATCCATGTCCATGTCAGTCTGCACTCACTGCTGCTGGGCTGTGGCGGCTCGATGGCTGAAGGGCAACAGAGAGAGAGAGAGAGAGACAGGAGGCAAGAGCGACCGATGCAACGCCGCATGGACAGTCATAGCTACGTCACAGTCGGCAGAGTGTCGATAGGCAGAGGCACACACACGCGGTCTATCGTCCCTCCCTCACTGCAAATTCACTTGAACATCAATTTGAGTGTGAATATGAACCCATACCAACCACACTCACACTCACTCTTCTTGACGGTGTAGTGCGGTGCGGTCTGCCTGGCGCACTCATCCGCAAACGAGCGGAGGTCGGCCAGCTTATCGGCCTCGCTGTCTCCCTCCAGCCCACTCTCCTCCAGCCGTGCCTCCAACTCGACACTCACTGGCCGCAGAGCCAAAGCTAGCTTGATGAACTCTCTCACGCCGGCCTTGCTGCATAGGGATGAAGAGGTCAGGCGATCGATGGAAGGGCGGCGGTCGCCCCATGAGGCAGGGGCGTCCGCCGGCCACTCGCACACCACACGCCAGCCCGACTCACTGATCCTGACCTCATCTAGCTGACCTACGGACAAGTAGGACAGAAACTCACAGGCGGCAGCGAAGCTAGACACGCCATAGAGCCGGACACCCTTGAGTGTCCCCAGTCCGCCCACAAGCGGCCTCAGTTTGCTACTGGCGGCGCGCACGTCAGCCAGGGACAGCGAGAAAGAGAACACCAGCAACTCCTTGACAGCAGGGAAGCATCGGCTGGTCGACCGCCTTCCCTCTCCGTCTCCCTGCCTCTCGGCCAGCCACTCGGGGATGCTGTCTTCCACCGCTCCCGATGCACTCACGCCCTGCTTTGTCGTGAACTTGATCTCGAGCTTCTTGGCCTTGGTGAAGATGAGCTTCTGGCGCCACGACTCGTGCAGCGGAGTGCCACCGAGCTTCAACCTCAGCTGCACACAGCAGAAACGCACTTGTGGTCCTGTCAGATGGTCTCCCTCCCTTGTCTGCCACATTCCTGACATGTGTCGCATTGGCCGCCAGCCGCGTGGCGATCTCTTCGTAGAGGCCGTCGGGCGCCGGAGGGGCAGTGGCAGCCGTCGTGCTGCAGTCGATGGTCATGGGACCCGACTCTGGCAGCCAATCGAGCTGGCAGTGGCCATCCGCCACCCACTCGCTGATGCCCTCCATGTCGGCCACCCGGAGTCCGTAGTCCACACCGATCTCAGCATCAACCACCACGAATCCCAGCCTCTTCGGCGCACCTGCATGAAACATAGGAGGGGACAAGCCAGGATAAGCCACCCTTGTGCCCCGATGCACTTCTTGTTGAGCGCACATTTCGGCTCTTGTGTGTTGCAGTGTTTGCTGAGGGTGTCCTTGAGCTGATTGATGCGGCCGAACTGGTCCATCTTGATCTGCAGGCCGGTGAGGGTGGTGAGGTGGGGGCAGCCGGCGAGGGCGGGGATGAAGCCGGCCCACTGGTCGTCGTCGTTGTCGAATGTGATGCTGTCGGCCTCCAGGCGCCTTATCATGGGGGATGTCTCGAGGAGGCGCACGAGGTGGGGCGTATGATCGGTGTGGAGGGTGCCGACTCGCAGTGTTGTGAGGGCCGGGAAGATCCATCGACGCCTCCTGCAGACACACACACGTCGAAGCAAGAGATCAATGGCTGTGCGGTTGGCGCGCCAACGCTGACTCCCCTGACGAACGTACCTGAGGTAGTCAAGACCTGCAAGGCCACGGACGTCCAAGTCGGTCAATGATGAGAACACGATGGGCCCGGCATCCGGCGTCCGTGACCAGCTCTCGACGTTCAGGGTGATCTTCTTGAGTGAGTCCTTGTTGGCCTCCAACAGCTTCGACGCCACAGGCGGGACCACTCGGGCGTCGACAAAGGCCGTCTGGATCTTGCCCTGTACGCACACACACCAACAGGTCGCATCGCACCATGTGTGTGTCGCTTCTGTCATGACCCACCCAGCCCTCTCACCATGTGCTTCAAGTGCTGTAGCGTCTTGATCTTGTCGTAGATGCGCTCCTCGCCACGCGTCATGGTGAAGTTGCGGAACACGCCAAACGTCTTGTCGGTGGCCTTCTCGTGAGTCACTCTGTTGACGCGCGAGAGGCGGATGTTGTCGATGGTGCTCAGGAAGGAGCCCAGGGGGCTGAAGACTTCCTCGGGCAGTCCAGACAGACTCGGACGGCCGTATGGCTTCTGACATACACACACACATACACAGGTGCACAGCACACTGGTAAAGGCTGTCACGGTGGCTGCCACTTCTCTGTGCCAGTCACCTTGGGCGTGTTCATCGGCCTTGATGTCCCCTCTGCAGGACCACACACATCCACCGACCCACCTGAAGGTACCACACACACAACACAACACAAGTCAACAACCAAGGCATAGAGCAGTCATGCCGGCGCGGTGCGGTGCAGAAGATCCGATCCATCATCGGGTGGGGAGTGGGGTTGGTGTACCTCCAGCAGCGGCAGCAGCCGATTCAAGAGCTACACGTCTACGCTTGCTCTCGCCCTCATCACAAGCAGACACCTGGATGAACACAGCTCAAAGAAGCAGCACGGATGCCATCGCCATGAGCCGAGCTGGTCCACCGGTGTGCGCTGTAGGTTTGTCTGTCCTTACCGCTGCGGATTTCTGTGGTTTGGTGGTGGTCCCAACCACTGCACCGCCCTCGCGCTGGTCACTCTTCTTGCCCCACCGGAACGTCTTACCGCCCATTCGCTGACGTGGACACACACACACACACACACACACAGAGAGAGAGAGAGAGATCTGCACTAGAGGTCAACGCACGTGTGACTGTCCTGTAGATGGTTACCAGGTCTTGGTTGTACTGGGGTGGTGGCTTGGTCCGGTGCGGCACCGTGACCGGCTTGAGCTCCTCCTCCCTCCCCTCCACCTCCCGCATGAACACCACAGTGCCGCCATTGGTCTCCTGGGTGTCGTACACGACGGCCGTCACCCACACAGACTCCCCCGTCTGCTGCTCGGCCGCCACCGACACACGAGTGCCGACCTCGTAACGAGGCGCCCGCAGTGTCTGACCACAGACACACACACAAATGGCAACACGCATAGGGATGGCCGTACCTACCTGATCGTGAGAGGTCATGCCGTCCTTACGAGAGTGTCGTAGTCAGTCGTGATCTGTGTCAACTCTTTGGCAGAGGCCGAGCGGACGGCGGCGGGATTGCCCGGGATGGCCGACAGCGATGCACCATCCTGCAGGCAACAGACAGGAAGATGGTTGACAAGTGAGTCTTGCAGCTCGGCTGTGTGGTGTCTTCTGCGGACAGACCTGTGTGGTGCTGTCGGTGTGTGTGGCTGTGATGTGGTCTGCCCGCTCAGCTGCATCAGAGGCAATCTGAGAGGCGACCTGTACAGCGAGATGACTCTTGCTGTGTGTCATGTGAGCGGCCTTCTCCCTCCCTTAAGGACCGAGTGTATCTGTTGCAGAAGATCACGAGAAGAGCTGCCGCCGCTATCATCGCCACTCGGTCCGCCTGCAGCACACAACCACCACGCCAGCCAGCCACATCACATAAAGATGAAGCGTGTGGTGGCGTGTGTGACCTGCAGAGGCGGCCGGGGCGTCATCTCTGTCTATGTTCATCATTTCGCTGTCAGCCATCTGCACTGAGTGTGAGCGCCTCTCAGTCGGCTTCCCGAACCTCACAGTACCATTACCTACAAACACACCAACACAAACACAATCGCTTCCAAACGTCGTTCTCTTCGTTTGTTTCTCTGCATCTCGTCTGCCCTGCTGGCTGCCTGACTGCCTGAGGGTGTCTGCCTTCCTCAGCCTTTCTGTTGGCTTGCCTGTCTGACTGGTAGTCAGCGCCGCTCAGATGTGACTGTGATCAAAACATCGCCCATAATTCCCCCCGGGGTTCCTCCTCTTGTTCTTGAGCTCGCAGCGTAAACGGAAGAAGCAGTGAGGGAATGCGATAGGAAGCGGCAGAAGGGCCCGGTGGCGGCCTCAGCAGCCGCCTCCAGCGCTGCTGATTCGGCCAACCAGCCGCCCCGTTTGTTCCGCCTGCCCCAGGACGTCGAACAGCTGTTTTTCCCTCTCTGTGGCGCTGACGGCCTGGCTCTCTTTCGGCACACATGCCCCCTCGGCAGCCGCCGTGTGTCGGAGGACTACATCAAATCGCAAATCGACCGCCTGATGGTCGCCAAGGGCATCCAGAATGTCGTCAGCTATCGGGTGCCGTGGAGGGCGCGGAGGGACCAGCTGCGGCCGATGGACTTCCTCCTGCGGCTGCTGGTACATGGACGCACTCCATCTATCACATACTGTGTGTCTGTTGTCATGTCTGTGTATGTGGCAGTATGTCATCGAGAAGAGCGGCGACTGGGCGGGGTGGGAGGCCATCGTCAGGATGGCGAAGCATCGGGGGCTGATGGGGCGGTTGCCGATAGAGCTGACCAGTGCTGATGTGGAGGGTGTGGGCAGCCGGGCGGTAGTCGACGGGCGGTGTGAGGCGCTGCGCCAGCTGTCCCTCATCGGCCGCCACCTCGGTGTGGCGCTGCAGCGCGACAACAAGGGCGAGGAGCGGCTGAATGGGCGTCTGCTGACCATCCACACACTGCACACGCTGCCGGCCGACCACCCCTTCCGCGATAGATATGACCCGGCAAACCCCGTGTGTGAGTTTGACGGTGAGGGAGGGAGGGAGGGAGGGAGGGAGGGAGAGCTATGGGCAATGGACCATTTGCTTGCGTGTGTGTATGTGTCTTTGCAGGCTTTGCGTTTGCTTCAATTCGCGACGCTGTGTTGTATGAGTGAGAAATATGAGCAGAATGATACACATAAACACATTAGCACATTGGCTGCGTCGCTCTGCCATGATGTGTCTGGTCAGGATGCGTTATAGGGGGTCGGAGGTCGCGGACCAGTATGTCTACCAGCACCTAGATGCCCCACGCCACAACCGACTGGTCAGCCGCATACAGACACCCACGATTGCCTCACCAGCTGCCCCATTAGCTCATTGTCTTATCCTTTTCGCTTCAGCGGGAGCTCGCCCATCAGCAGCCTCCCGTCTGGAAGTGCGGCACCATCAGCACCAACCACTATGCGGCAGGAGACCGCGCGCGCGTGATAGTGCTGCACGGCGACCAGCCCCAGCACACATTCGAGGCTCACCTCTACATCTTCGGCGGCTCCACCTTTTCCCACGCCAGACTCTACACGACGGAGCGTCCGGTGGCGGGCAGGATGGGAGCCGCCAGATTCCCACAGACTGTGAGGGTGGTGCGGGAGGTCATGGGGGCCGACGCACAGGGGGCGTTTGGCAATCAGCTAGCCGTAGCCGTAGACTAATCTGTTGATCTTTCAACTCTCGAGTGTACAGACAGCCTTCTTGTCGGCCTGTTGGCCACGCCAACAGGCGGCAGGCAGACAGGCAGGTGTGTGTTCGAGAGACTGACTGACAGACAAGTTGACGGATGCATTATGTGTGGTGTGGCTGCCTGCATGGGGTGGGGAGGGGTACTTATTTGAATGGATTGACAGACTGCCTTCCTGCCTGTGTGTGGGTGTCTGACGGATTTTTTCAATGGGAGGATGCAGTACGTGGGAATCCTTTTTCTCACCACACACAGATTCATTCACCAACACCGAACACGCATTGTCAGCCACCATCCACCATTCTGCAAGTGCAGCACTGCATCTTACAAGCGACAGCGACATTGCCAGTGTCCTCACTGCAGTCATCGATAGATTGACACATTGAACAAAACCACCCCGGCACCGCCCCACTAAGCTCTTCACGAGTGTGTGACGTCCATTCGGCTCTGCTCGACCACCTGCAGCACATCACCCAGACGCACCGGCTCCGCACACGCACCAACCTGCACACACACATGACCCATGTCAGGCCTCTCTCTGCGTCTGCGTACCATCTTGACTGTCATGGCTCCCGCAGCGCAGCCGAGCTTCAGACCGAGCTCCACAGAGCGGCCCCACACCCAGCCGAACAGAAAGCCCGCATCGAAGGCATCGCCCGCACCGGTGGCGTCCACAATGGCCTCACTCGGTAAGGACACAGCCGGGCACCGATACACACGATATGGCAAAGAACTGCACAGACAGACAGGCAGCATGAGAGGGCAGACAGAGAGTGGCGGGGCGGGATGGGTGTGTGTGGATGTGTGTGCATCATCTTACCTGTCCTGTGTGTCTGGGTGTGTCTTTCGCTGTGCTGCGATAGCGCCGCGGTCGCCCTGCTTCATGACCACCAGGGGGACGCGGCGCACGAGCCAATCGAGGGCGGCCATGCGGTCAGACACATCTGCACGCACTCATGGTGTGGCTGAGTGGTGGATGGGATGTTGTTGTGTGTTGACTGACTGGCGTACTCGCGATGCGCGTGGCCTCGGTCTCGTTGGGGAGGAAGCAGTCGATCAGCGGCAGGACGTCACCCATGCCGTCGAACCGATCTGAACACACACACACACACCCATCCATCTCTGTGTGTGTGTGTGTGTGTGTGTTGGTGTCTAGCTAAAGGCGCACCCACCACCAGTACATGTATGTGTCTTGCCGTTCTCTGTATGTTTCTGTGTGAGTGGCGCGAGTGCAGTGTGACAGAGACGCCTGGGACACAAATCATTCGAATGCTTCGGTTGTCCGCATTGGCTTTGACGACGATCCCTTCACACAGTCTGGCAATGACGACGGGCATTACGGGATGTCCCATGCCATCTGTCTCTGTACACACACAAATGTGTCCACGGATGGATCCATTGTCATTGTCATGCCCACATGCAGCCAATGCACACACCACCACACACCCAGTCCACTAAACAGTCAGCTACTTGTGTGTCTTCCTTGACGCCATCCAGCCGCCCTGCAGAACACACACCAACACACACAGACACACACAATGCACACACAGATCAGGTCCTCTGCATCATGTGTGTGGCCCTCACCTTCATGGTCTACGGTGCCTGGCCGTCGAGGACGATGGGGGCGATGGGGCCGAGGACGCGGCGGGCCTTGCCGGCCGTCAGGGGGAATCGCTGGGCGAAGGGCGCGTCATGGGCCACACCTGCTGCTGACGCCTCGGTGGTATAGACGGTGACGCTCACTGCACGCAAACGATAGCGGATGATCAGACAACATGACAGCAATGAGTACCGTCCTGGTTGTCGCCTGGAGGGGTGCCCAAGGCAATGTATGCGATGAAGGGGTCATCCGACGATGTCAAAACATGCAGCCGCACACACAGCCCATCGACCGCCTCGTAGTCCATCACGTGTGAGCAGTCGTCGAATGGCGTGTGTGGCGGTCGGGTCAGCATACGATCCAGATGGCCGCCACGCTCACTCCTGACACACACATCCATGTTTGAAACAGACTACGAGCGACCTGCTCTCTTCATCCACTTACCGGTCTACCGCCACCATCGGCGACTCAGAGGTGCCGCCCACAGCCATCCTTCGATGAAGCACCATCAGGCCCTTCAGCAGGCAACTCGCCGACGGATTGACGCCCCCTCGTTGGCGGCGACAGCCGCCCAGCCCACAACATCCTGCCACCCAATGCGGCACCGGGCGGGCGGGTCGTGTGGCTTGGCGTGCTGCTGGAAGGGGTGCTGCGAGAAGGGATGCACGGGGCGGTTGGGGAGGGGGAGGGGGAGGGGCGGGTTGAGGGTGATGGCGAAGTTGGGCTCGTTGCGGATGGCGCGAATCTCATGGTTATAGCGGAAGAGCTCGAGTGTGCCGTCCTGCTGGCCGTTGGGGCGACGGAGGGCCACATGGCGGCCGACGATCATCCACTGCGCAAACACACGGGGCAGTGACGAGTAGTCTTGCACCCAACAGACACAGAGACAGAGAGCCATTCACTTATTGCCCCATTGCCTCTTCTGGTGTGTGTCGTGCTTACCGCCTTGGTGGGGTGTGTCTGCACATCTCCGGCGCCCACTGTGACCGGCAGCTGACAATAGCCAAAATGCTCTGAGAATCTCAGTGTGTCCGCCACCTCCCCCCAGCCGCCCTCGCCCCCCTCCTCCATCACCCACATGGCCTTCATCACATCGCCGTGACTCAGCTGATCGTCGAACTGCACCACGCCGCTCACCCCCGCACACTCGATGGCCTGCCGCAGCCGAATATTGCGGACGATGGGCCGCACGGCATCTCTGAAGTGGCGGGCTGTCGCCTTGAGTCGGGCGACGGCGGTGAGGTCAGACAGTTCCAGGACGATGCTCATCGGCCTGGCGGGAATGTCAGACACCTGCAACCGCCGAGCCTGACGACACACAGAAAGACACACATCATGGAGCTGTGTGTGTGTGTGTGTGTGTGTGTGGTCTCCCTTTCACCACCTGAGTGCGGGTGTGTGTTGTGAGTGCGATGGTCGAGTCGATGCTGTCCGCCAGCTGGGCCAGACGGGCCGATTCGTTGGCGAGTTGACGACTGACCTTGGCCACCACCTGATGAATCACACGAGAGCATCATGCCACTCAAAGGCCTTTGTGCTGTGTGCAGCAGTCTGTTCTTACCAGTGGTGTGATCGCAGCGGTGTCCATCTGAGTGAGTCGGCCAATGCCATTGTTGACCTGCACACCACAGCACACACAAACAACACAAGCAGGCAACCGATGAGCGGGGGATGGACTGTACGAGTGCGTGTGCCGATTACGTACCCTGGCCTGATTGGTCTGATAGGCCTGAATCTGTGCCAGCAGCTGCTGCCGCATCGCCGCCATTGACGTCTGCAGCTGTCTGGCCTCTCGTCTGTCTGCCCTCTCTGTCTGTCTGTCTGTCTGTCGACGTGGCTGTCTGTTTGTCGACGTGGCTGTCTGTCCGACGGGCAGTCTCACAACGCACTCACGTCGGCTCACACGTGCCGTTATGCATCCTTTGCCGTTCTTTCTTCTTTTCAGCGACTTCTTGCGATCGCGAGCTTCCTTGAGGGCGTTCCCCGCCGACCCTTAGTGGAAAGCGCCACGAGCTTCTGCGCCGATGATTCAGGGCTGAATGCAGATCTACCCTCACCTTGCCAGCGCAGAGTGAAGATTGTCTTGTTCTGAGCCATGGAGCCATCAAGAGGCCCTGTTGCTCATCGCAGCGATAGCAGCTCTTGCTGTTCCAGCAGCCGCCCGCAAAGCGGGAGAGGACGACCCTCGAAGAGGCGACTTCATCTCGTCTTTCGGCTGTGCCTCACTGCTGCCGTCGCATCTGCTTTCCAGCCGTCCAATCATGCCTTCCACCATCCTCCTTCGCTCGTGCGGCGGCCGTCAGCAAGGCGGCCGCGTGCTATGGTGTCTGCGAGAAGGGGACCCCTCTCTCTCTGGATGAAGAGCTCAGACGAGCGGTCAGCGTCACTCCTTACGAGTGGAGGAGAGAAGAAGGAGCCCGCATCGTTGTTGGGTAAAGCGGCTGCTGATTCATCTTTCACCGGTCCTTTCGTCCGCTGGTTCAAGCGCCGCGCTTTGCTGGGTGTGGAGCCGTCACCCGAGCTGGCCGCCATCCTTATCGTCTATTTCGTCCAAGGTGCGTCCGGCCTCGCCCGCCTGGCGACCTCGTTCTTCTTCAAAGACGACCTGCAGGTGTCGCCGGCTGAGGTGGCTGCCCTTACGGGGCTGATCTACCTGCCCTGGTTCATCAAACCTGTCTATGGCTTTCTGTCGGACGCTGTGCCGATCGCCGGATACAGGCGGCGGAGCTACCTCGCCTTGTCGGGTGTGCTTGGCGCCGCTGCGTGGCTCGCACTGGCCAACCCAGACCTTGTCAACACACCCGCCACGGTCAGTGAGCGCACGAGACTCTGGTCTTTGTTTTGAATGATGGATGGATGGATGTGTGCAGGCGCTGGCGGCGTGCATATTGACGAACTTGAGTGTGGCTGTGGCTGACGTGGTGGCCGACAGCCTGGTGGTGGAGAGGACGCGTGACGGCCCGCCGGAGGCCACTGCCGGATCGCTGCAGTCACTCTGCTGGGGCAGGTGAGGACACACAAGGGATGACACCCAAAACGACTCCATCTGATTTCTTTGGCTGCCTCCTTCCGCTCAGCTCTGCGATCGGTGGTCTGTTGACGGCCTACTCGTCCGGCTCTCTGCTGTCGTCACTCACCTCGCGGCAGGTGTTCGGTCTGACGGCGGTATTCCCGCTGCTGGTGCTCTTGATGGCCTTCCTCATCAACGAGAAGCCCGTCCACTTCGTCACCAACAACGGCGATAGCAGCAAAGGCGGGGCATCCCCACAGGTGAGGAACGTGGCCGTGTACGAGCAGGGCAAAGGGCAGGGCAGAGAGCTGACTGTGACTGAGGAGCTGGCGGAGCAGGCCAAGCGGCTGTGGTCGGCCGTCAAGCGGAAAGAGATCCTGCTGCCCACCCTCTTCCTCTTTCTCTTTCGCGCCACACCGAGCAGCGACAGCGCCTTTTTCTTCTTCCTCACGAATGACATCAAACTGAGCCCCGAGTTCCTCGGTCGAGTGCGGCTCGGAACCAGTGCCGGCAGCCTGGTCGGCGTGTGGCTGTACAACACTTTTCTGAAGGAGGTGCCCATCAAGAAGCTGCTCGTGGGGACCACGCTGGCCTCCCTGCCCATCGGCCTGAGTCAGCTGCTGCTCATCACACACGTCAACCGAGACCTGGGCATTCCCGACACCTGGCTGTGCTTCGGCGACGATGTGGCGGCCACAGTGCTGGGGCAGCTGGCATTCCTACCCACCCTTGTGCTCGCAGCGCAGCTCTGCCCTCCTGGTGTTGAAGGCACCTTGTTTGCCACTCTGATGAGCATCTTCAACGCGGCTGCCGGTGTGGGCACCGAGCTGGGCGCCGTGCTGACATCGGCCTTTGGCGTGACCGACTCGGACTTCACCAACCTGGGCGCGTTGGTGACCCTCTGCAACGTCAGCAGCCTCTTCCCTTTGCTGTTTATCAACCTGCTGCCCGACGGACGGCCGCAGTTGAGTAACCGTGATGGTGAAGACACAAGTGCAAAGGGAGCAGAAGGGAGTAGTGGGAGTGACGGCCGAGAGGCCGAGGGAGGGCGGGTGAATGGGTTGGCGGAGGGGAGGGAAAAGGCGATGGATAAGGTGGGGCGTGACTGAGCCATACATACATGCGCATACTGACTGACGACCGTACGTGGGTTGGACGTCCGTGTGTGAGGCCCATCGCCTGTTTTGTCATGAGTTCTTCTGACGGCTGCTGGCGTGTGTGCGAGTTGGTTGTGTGCATGTGTCGGCGACGACCGAATGTGCATATGTACAATAGTGAGTGGACACTCACATGTCTGTGTCGGAGGCGTCTGTAGATTTTCTGCCGTTCTAGAACGACCAACTAAATGAATGAGTCTGCACATCCATCACAGGTATCTCACACCCGTCAGCACAATAGCACCATTTCCCATGCACCCAGGTAGCCAACACAGGCATCACTTTCTGAGGAATCCCAGCGGCAGCTGCGAAGGTGCGCATGGGTAGGGAGGCGTCTTGAAGTACTCGTGGGCAAGCGCCTGACACACACAACCAACTCACAATACAGCATTAGTCGCTGTTTGCCCGGCAGTGTTGTGTGCACCTACCTCTTTGGCGGAGATGCGCTGGTTTGGATTGAGGACGAGCAGCTGTCTGAGGAGGGCCAATGAGAGCTCCGACACGCCAGGCCCGAAGACCTGCCTGAAGTCCTGGGGTGGGGCGTAAGTGAACTCACAGTATCGGGGCAGATGCTTGGCGCCCTACACACAACACAAACAGACAGCTGTAATGGGCACCAACACAGACATGGATGGATGGATGGATGGATGGGCACCGGCCAGTTTGTTTCGGTGGGTGTCCCCATGACGTCGAATATCTTGGCCAGCTGATCCACCTCTCCCTGACCGTTGAACAGCGGACGACTGCGCACACGACAGACATACACACACGCATCTCGATCCTTCCTGCCGGCCGGCTTGCTTGCCCACCCCAGCAGCATTTCAGCAAAGATGCAGCCGACGCTCCAGATGTCGACCTTGTCACCTGACACACACAGGCAGACCAGGTGGTCCACTCCACGTGTGTCCTCCTCTCTCTCTCCTGTGCTTACTGTACAGCCTGGCGAAGTAGAGCAGCTCAGGCGGCCGATACCAGCTGCGCACACGCACCAGGCAGGCACGTGCATATGAATCAGTCGTGTGCCCACGCCGGCATGATCCTCCCTGTATGTCTTTTCTTCCTTACATGGTGACGACTTGAGGCGTCATGGCCCGGTCGGGCGAGCCGTGGCTGCGAGCCAGACCGAAATCACCCAGCTTGATCTCACCTGACAACCATCGCACCACACAGGTGTGGTGTGTGCACTGGACAGTGGTGGTCATTCTGTGTTGGTCGCTCACCTTCTGCGTTGATGAAGACGTTTGCAGGCGCCAAATCCTTGAGAACGATGAGTGCACAAAGATGTATGTGAAGTGATTTCTTGCCCCTCTCTCACCCTGTGAATGAAATACCACGAGTGCATGACCTCCAAACCTGACAAGACACGCACGAGCGCAGAACCATCCAGCTATGTGTGTGTCTGTGTGTTTGTGTGCTGCCGTCTGTCTGTCTGTCTGTCTGTCTCACCTTGCAGTATTTGCTGCATCATGCCCTTGATGTGCGCCTCAGTCAGCTGCGGATGGGAACCCAAAAACTGAAGACACACCCGTGAGTGAGTCAGTCAATGAGTGAATGAACTAGCCGGTTGTTGCTTGCCTTCTTGAGATCGGTGTGCATGAAATCCATCACCAAGTTGACGAAGTCGCCCTCGGCATACACATCGATCAACTGCACACACACACACACACACAGACGTGAGAGAGAGTGCCTGTCTGTGTGTCTGTGTGTTCGTTCTCACCCCCATGACGTTTTTGTGTCGGATTTCCTTCATGATTTTGATTTCCCTGAGAACGGTGAAGTGGATGCCGGCCTCGCCCACCGGCAGCCGGCCGCTGTGCTGCTCCTCGTCGACACACTTGCGGTCCAGCTTGACCCGCTTGACGGCCACTATCCTAAACACACACACACACACACACAGAGAGAGAGAGAGAGAGAGATGGATGAGTGTTTCTGTGTGCGGCAACACTCACTTGTTTGTCGCCTTGTCCAGCGCCTTTGCGACCGTCCCATACGTCCCGGCGCCGATGTTGGCGTCCAACAAGGAGTAGCGACCGCTGCCCTGCAACAAACAAAGAAGCACACACGAATGCGACAAGCAAGCAATCATTCTCGGTTCTGTTGCTGGTCTGCTTACCTTGCTGGTCGTGGTGCTTGGCGCCTGCGCCTCTCCCGTCGCCCCGCTCGCCGTCTGCATGGCCTCGGGAACACTCACCGCTGACACTTATCCATCGATTGGCCAGATCTGCGTCGGTTTGCCGTGCAGAATGCCCAAGAGGCCGACGCGATTTGTTTTTGCCTTCTCAGGAAGTCAAACAGAAGAACCTGAGCTCGCAGTGATGACGCGCACCAACTACTAGCGCAACACAGGGCCATGGAGGAGCCTCGGAGTGGCCCGGCGGCGTCGGCCACGTCAGGCGCCTCCAACGCTGGCGGCTCGAGCAACCAGCATCTTCGCCTGTACCCCCTGGCACAGGTACGTGTTCCTCATTCATTTGGTTGATTGGTTTGCTGGTTCCGTCCATCCATCCATCAGATGCTGCCGTCATCCCACGAGCGCTACACGACCGGCACGCGTGTGTGGATGGTGACGACCAAGAAGGGCAGGCAGGAGTGGGTGAAGGCCGACGTCTATCGCACTGAGGAGACCAGCGGGGCGACGAGAGTGTCCATGAGGGAGGTAGAGGGAACAGAGGAGTTCACTGTGAAGGTGCCGCACCAGCCCAAGGCATCGCCGCACGGCCGACAGGTACTTACGTCAGTAGGCAGAGCTGCCTCCACCTCCACTGCTTGAATGATCCTGTGTGTGTTCTGTCTGATGTGATGTGTGTGCAGGTCCACAAGGGCTTCAGGTTCGTCAAGACGGTACCTGTGCAGCGACCTGTAGATGAGGATACTGACAACGGCACGGTACTCGAGCAGCCACAGACACATGAATGAAGCAAGCAGCCCACACTGCCTCCCTCCTCTCCGTTGGTTGCCTTGTTGTTCTGTCCGGCCATCAGCCTCGCCTGTTTGAGCTGCCCCAGGAGGTCGAGAAGGGCGTCCTTTGGCCCCTCCTCGGCGGCGACCTTGCCATCAGCCTGGCCCGCATCCGCACCACATGCCGCCTTGGCCGAGAGCGGGTCTCTGCGGACCTCCTCAGATCGCTGATCGATGCACAGCTCACCGGCAAGGGCCTCCAGGACATCATCAGCTACGACCTCTCGTCCGTCGGTCATCTGCAGCGGTTCCTGTACATCATCGACAACAGCGGCGAGTGGGCGGCGACGGTGCGCATCATCAGGGTGGCGAAGCATCAGCGGCGGAGTGGTGGGAAGTTGCCGATAGAGCTGACCAGTGCTGATGTGTTGGGGGTGGGCGGCCGGGCGGTGTTCGACGGGCGGTGTGAGGCGCTGCGCCAGCTCTCACTCATCAAGCGTCACATCAACATGACGCTCGAGCGCCGCAGCAACGGCGAGGAGCAGCTGGGTGGGCGTCCACTGACCATCCGCCCACTTCACTCGCTGCCGGCCAACAGCCCCTATCGCAATGCATACGACTCGGCCAACCCCGTGTGTGAGTATCTAGGTGAGGGCGAGAAGGGAGGACTGCGGGCAATGGATTAGTTGGCTGCGTGTGTCTGTGTATGTCTGTTTGCAGGCTGTGTGTGTGCTTCAGTTCGCGACGCTGCGTTGAACAAGTGAGAAACATGGGCAGAATGACCCACACGAACACATTAACACATTGGCTGCACCGCTCTGCCATGATGTGTGTGTCTGACCAGGAAGCGTTATGGAGGGTCGCGAGTCGCGGACCAGGGGGCCACCCGGCACAACGATGCCACACGCTACGAGCGACTCGTCAGTCACACACACACACACACACACACAGACCCACGATTGCCTCACCAGCTGCCCCACTCCCTCATTGTCATACGTCCCTTTTCGCTTCAGCGGGATCTCGCCACTCAGCAGCCGCCCGTCTGGAACTGCCGCACCACAAGCACCAGCCACTGGGCGGGAGACGGAATCTTCAGCCGCGTGATAGTGCTGCACGGCGACCAGCCCGGCCAGACCTTCGCAGCCCACATCTACATCCGCAGCTACTCCGACTTTGCCCGCGCCTACCTGCACACGACGGAGGGACCGGTGGATGGCAAGGAGGGTGCGGCGGCATTCCCCGAGACAGTGACGGTGGTGCGGCAGCTGATGGAAGCCGATGACGAACAGGCGGCGTTTGGCGACCAGCTAGCTGTAGCCCTCCCCCCAGCTGATGGCGGTGGTGAGGGTGAGGGTGGCGGGCAGACCGCAGGCAAGCACAAGGAGGGGCGGCACACGGACGAGCTATGAATGGGTCAGTGTGGACGGATGTGTGGCTGCCTGCAGGTCCTGCTGCGGCCGCATCATCGGCAGCGAGCGGCAGCGTGTAGAGAGGGATGGGGGTGGCAGCACAACGATAGAGGACGAGTAGCCCACAGTAGCCGACTTACTGACCCGCACGGACACGCACGAGGGGAAGGGACAGGGGAGGGACAGGGGAGGGGCTGACTGCAGGCGTTGACTGATGAGTGTGTGGATGGATGCATTCATGGGATGGATACGTGAAGGTGTTGTACAGTTGTGTGTTGGTCCAATGCGCAAATGATTCTTCTCCTCGTTTCGTGTGCGAGCTCGCGAGCGATTTCCCTGAGATGCCAAAATGAGCCCTTCAGGCGTCCTGGTGGTCCTGTTGTGTGCGTTGTGGTGCGAGAAGGCCTTCGGTGGCGCGCCATGTCCGTGCAAAGACAGGTGCAAGAACCCGAAGTCGACGCATTCATCATGGCACGCATTCATCTGCAGATGCATGGCAGATCTCCCTTCTGTTTGTGTGTTGTCCACCACATTTCAGCCGTCTGTGCGAGCCCGTGCAGCGAGTGCCGTCCAAAGAGGTGTTTGGCTTCGGCTCGGCCTCGTGGCGCCAATACGACTGGGACGTCGTCACGACGTCTGAAAGATACACACCCGAATGTGTGCTGTGTATGCGATGTGCTCGTTTGCATCATCCATCAGCATTGCCTGGGCGAACGAGTCGGACACTGAGCTGCTGTGCCACGCACACAAGCACAAGTACAGCCACAGAGATGGTGCACATCGAGGGGTGGGTGGGATCACACGTGCATGTGCTTCTGTTTGTTTGTCCATCCAGTGTGCGGTTGATATCAGCGGCGAATCGGCCGGAGAAGGCCTTCCTGAACGGCTCTGAGGCAGCCATGGTCGAGTGGGTTCGGTACGCTTACACGAATGCACACACACATACAAACGGTGCACGGAAAAGAGTGTGTGTGTGTGTGTGTGTGTAGGTCGACCGTTGCTCGTCTGTCGTCGATTCACTTTGACGGCGTGACGTTCGACTACGAGGCGCCGATGGACCCCACCGACACCCACACACAGATGAAATACGCAGAGGTATGTGCTGCACGGGTGTGGACGGATCCATGGACATCGTGTGTTGTGTGTGTAGCTGGTGAAACGGACCAAGGAGGCGCTTGCGAAAGAGCGGCCCGGCTCACAGGTAGACAAGCAGGCAGGCAGGCAGGCAGACAGGCCTTGTGTGTGAAAATGGCTATGCCATGGAAATGTCTGTGTGGTGTGTGTTTGGCGTATGTGTGCAGGTGTCGGTGTGTGTGCCGTGGTCGCCGTATGACATCGACCAGCGGTCCTATGACTGGCGGGCTCTGGCTGATGCTGCCGACTTTCTCTATGTCATGGCATATGACATACAGAGCCAGGTACACGTTTCTAGCTCTGCGTGTCACATGGATTCGTGTGTGTATGTTTAAATCTGTGTGTGTGTTTACGTCAATGTTTGTGTGTGTGTGTGTGCAGATTCTTTCTCGGTGCATTGCGCAGCCGAACAGCCCCATTGAGGCGGCGAGATACGGCCTCAATGCCTACATGTAAGTGCGCACCCATCCACACTCCCTCACAGAATGACGGATGTCGTGTGTGTGTATGCGTGGGCATCAACACACATACATCCGCCCGCCCAGGCGTCTGTCGATCCCGCCTTCCTCTCTGGTGCTGGGCGTGCCCTTCTACGGCTATGTCTACGGGTGGGTGCATGTGCACATGTGGCTGACCTGACTGCAAGCGCCCATCTACACGTGACATATGTGTGTGTCACTGTCACTCACAGGTGCTTCAACACGACGATAGGCGACACGCCCATCTGTGCGATAGAGGAGGATCCATTCAGATCAGTGGCATGCTCCGACGCTGCGGGATCACAATGGTACACACGCACACACACGGATGCATATCGAGTACACACCTCTCTGTCTCCGTCTCTCTCTGTGTTTGGATGTGTGTATGCAGGCCGTTCCGTGACATGTATCGTGTCTACAGTGGCGAGCTGGCGGGCGTGTGTGTCTCTGGTGTGCATTGGGACGAAGCCACCCAGTCACCCTGGTTCAACTTCTACAGGTACACGCACAACACAGACACACGGCCCCACCCACATCCGACTGTGTGTGTGTGTGTGTGTGTGGATGCAGCCTGACAGACACCAAGCTGCAGCAGCAAGGGGAGAACAAGATGATGTTTAGACGGTATACAGAGGTGCACACACACACGGCTGCCATGGCTGCATCTATGTGTTCATTTGTCAGGTCGTTAACACCTTCTTCGTGCAGTGCCACCATCCAACCCCAACACATACCCGTGCGGCAGGTACGCACACACACACACGTGTGTCTCATTTACACCCACACTTCCTCCATCCATCCATCCATCCATCCGTTCATTCTCGTGCACAGGCGTGGTTCGACAGCCCCCGCAGCATCAGGGCAAAAGTCAGAATGGCCAAGGATATGGGTACGTACTTAAGTGGGGGTGCACATACACATGGCCAAATCCATCTCAAAAATCCATTTCAATGGCGTGTGTGTGTGTGTCTCCAGGTCTGCGTGGTGTGGGTCCTTTTGCCTTCGACCAGCTGCTGCCTCGGGACGGCGCTCAGATCAAGGCCTCGCCCGGTAATTCAGCATTCTCGTGCGCGCGTCCATCCATCCATCCATCCATCCATTCCTCAATCAGTGTCCCCTTATGTGTGTGCAGGGTTGAAGGATGCTGCTGGGGAGTTCTGGGGGGCGCTGGGAGAGATACGACAAGCCGATGCGATGACGGCAACCGGCCAGTAGATGGAGACGCTTCCTTCGCGCCAACGCATGTGCGTGCGTGTGGCTATGCGTGTGGCTGTCCACGTGTAAGTGATGATTAGCTTGCCTAGTGGTGCGTGGTGTGTGTGGTATGTGGCATCCGGAAAGTAGGTCGTTGTTGCTGTTTTTCATTACATGTCGATACAACGTCATGCTACATAGGGCTGTATTGGGTGGGCCATTTGGACTGCTCGGGACGGACAGAGACATCACGTCATGAAGCTGTCTTGGCGTTCATCCATCTACACAGCTGTTGTTCGAAACGCCTTTCACATCATGTGGCCATGATGTGGCCTCTTCGTCTCTCTTCTTCCCATCTTCTCTCCTCTCCTCTCCTCTATTTTGTGTACAGACCACCTGTGTATGCCCGCATGAACAAAACGACAAAAATGCCCTCGCCCATGCGTCCAGCACTTCTCCTTGTTTGTCTTTCCTTCTGCCTACTCATCATCTCAGTTAGCCACGCTGACCACTCCCCTCGTCCCTCTCCCCCTCTGCCTCTCTGCTTTTCGACTATATACAGAACCCTCGTTCAATAATGCCCACTGTCCACATCGGTCTCAAGAGAGCTCAGACAGAGAATCGATTCCCCTTCAAGCGGGTGAAGAACTCTTGAAGCGAGCGGAGAAACAAACCCTTTGGACGACGACGGGGGGCAGGGGTCTACATGACACGAAGCAACCATCGTTTCCTCCGCCTTGCCCTCACATCCACATCACTGCCTCATTGCCCTTACTTACCGGATCATCGGTGATGTCCTCCACCGCTCGCCCAGCAGGAAGCTCAAAGACGTATTCCTGGAACAGCAGCCGGGCCTTGATGTCCTCGCGTGTGGTCGGGTCCTTGGGCCATTGCGGCTTGATCAAGCCGCCTTGCGGGATGGCCCAGACGATGCGCCAGGTCTTCCTGCCATCCCCGATCGCTGGGCTTGTCCTCAAGTTGTCGATCAACGTTTGGTCGAATCCACTGGCTGAGTAGTCGCTGTCGGCGGTCACTTTGAAGAGGTAGATAACGTCCTCAGCGCTGTCGATGTACAGCGAGTCGATGGTCGTCCACTTCTTGGACACAGGCACCCAGAAGCCAGGCTCGTGCACGTTGGCATAGGGCCTCTTCTGGTCTCTGTTGCGAGAAAACAGACGAGGCTCACTGTCCTGCTGGGTGCTGTCCAGTGATACCCGGATCACACCCCTCAGCTTGTCCTGCGGCGTCTGCATCCTTGACGCTCGAGAGCTCCTGTCCATACGTGAAACATGATGGCTGAGGGGCTCCAGAGTTATCGGGCGCCTGGTCCTTGCCAGAAACTCATGGACGAGGCCCTCAAACAGTTTTTCTTTGCCGACGATCTTTCTGGGGTCCATGATGATGTCGAGCTCATCTTTCAGCTCCTGCTTGGTCAGCTTCCGGATGAACTCGCCGAGGATATAAGACGAGCGCCAGACGACGTTCCCAAAGGTGTAGGGGCCGTGGGTACCGGGATCGAGCGACATGAGAACGGTCTCAGGGAACTTGTCAGCTACGGCACCCCTTGGGGCTTCTCCCCTCCATCGTCGGGCGTCTTCATACTTCATAAAGGCAACGGCGAGTTTCACATCCTTCTTGAGCGAAGACAGAGGCCGCAGGTAATCGTGAATGATACCACCCGCATAGCGGCGCTTGTTATCCATCTGGTCGAGCCACTCGGTGCCCTCAAGGGCCTCAGAAACCTCCTCCTCAGTCCAGGTGGGCATGAGCAGATTGAGTGTGAGCTCTTTCTTGAAATCGTTGTAATTATCATGGCGCGCCGATGCAGCCAGCAAGGCGCTGCCCGGCCACGCACCAAACAGGCCACCTTCGAAGCCTGCACCACACACACACACACAACAAAAACACACAAAGAGAGAGAGAGTGTGTCACTCTCATACAGGCAGGCGTGCAGCCCCGTTCCCTCCCGCCCCGAGCTAACCGTCGATCAGTAGCCAGTCGCGCCGTAATGAGTCCAGCGGCTGCGTCTTTTGTAACTGGCGCAGCGTCTTTAGCGGGTCGAGAACGATGGCAAAGCCGTCCTTCGACAGCTCATACACGTTCTGGTCGACATTCGATGTCCTGAATGAAAACCAGAAGGAGCGGGCAGGTCACATCACGTCTGGCCGCCAGCAAATCTGTGCTCACTGACCTCTTGGAGTTGTCCACGAACCAGATCTTGAAGTTCTTGCCTCGGTGCATCTCGCCTTTCAGCACGGCCAAGAAAAAGAGAAGAAACCAAGACAAGCCGACGCCCGGTGAGCCACGCAGCAGAACGTTGAAGTACTTCCCCGTCTTCCTGTTCAAGTTATTATGCCTGTCCATAATGATCTTGGCGATGTCAACATAGGCCTTGCGGACCAACAACTTCTGCTCCTCCGTGAGTGGCAGCGTGATTGGTGCTGCCTCGAGGTTGATGGGATCCACTGACTCCCAGTATGGTTCAAGTTCGAGTCCGACCCTGAAAACCGGCGGTATGGCTTCGGCGAAGGCCTGCAAGTCAGACAGACAGACAAGACGAATGCACAGAAATACACTCATCATGCCCAGCTGTGTCGGTCACTTACGTACCTCTCCCTCTGGCTCCTCTGCGTGAAGGGCAGTCGCCCTCTGCACGTGGCGATGAGTCGGGCGTTCCTGGCGAGCCGCCAGGGCAATCTGAAACGTGAGACGAGCCGATTGGCGCACGCCAGCCACCGTATGAGCGAGGGCAAGGCACGCAGTCAGGAGAAGGGAAAGCGCAGATGCCATAGCTCTGACCTCTGAATGCAGAGAAAGCGCACAACACGACATCTGGCATGAGATGTCATTCATCGAGGCGCAGATCTCCTCACCAATTGCGTCCACCCAGAACGACACGGCGACGACGCCGATGAGTGAAAGAACCACGTGAGGGAAGGGAGGAGATGGGAGGCGAGCCGACGTACAACTGACTGTGATCTAGGGTTTTTGAAGGGTTGAGGGTTCGGGCCACAAAGAGTGACGAAAGGGGACACGTGAAGCATGGGACTGCTTGTGAGTCAGCAGCACACACAAGCATCGACCCGTCCACCCACCGACGGCATGCCTTCCTTGCACTGCACCACATTGCTGAGTGCATTCATTGTGTGTATGTCTGCAGCAGCAGCAGTTAGGCAGGCTAACCACTCCCCCCTCCCTCTCCCTTGCTTGATCTCCCTCTGGCTGGGATCAGATCCCCCGTTTTACTCTCTCTGCCTCTCTCTCTCTCTGCCTTTCGACTGTACACCCCCGTCAGTCAGCCCATTAGTCAAGCCATCAATGATACACCACAGCAGCACAGCAGAGAAAGAGAGACCCGCCTCCCTCCCATACCCATTCACCCACCAACAGACACAGCAAGCACCTCTCACCCACCACACAGGCCAGGCCTCTGCTATCCACTGACTCATCTAGCCATACATATTCCAAACTCGTCCCTCTCTCTCTCTCTGTCTCTTTCACTCGGATCTTCGTTGCTGCTGCTGCTGTTTCTGCTGCTCTGGCTGCGCTACACGCCCTCCGCTCTCTCCGCTGCTGCTGCTACCGCTATCACTAGCCGGCTCTACGTACGCCCGGGGCAGCTTCTGCACACCTGCACAACAGATGGACCACACACATGGCATGGGGTGGGGTAGGTAGGACAGGACACAACCACACAAACCAGAGCGTAGGTGTTTGGACATTATGCGTACCCATGTGCAGGTCAAACAAAGGTGGGAACTCCTCCCATGGCCGCGTCGAAAAGTACCGAGGCGACCTCTGCTGCACACTGCCGCCAGCCTTCGCACTACCCTTGGGGCGTTCCTCCGGTCTCCTGTCCTTGTGCCCCTTGGTGTTGGTCTGCTGCTGCTCGGCTGTTTGTGTCTGTGCGCGTGTGGTGGGCTCGGCGAATGGCGGCCTGAGTGGTCCTGGTGGGTCGCTCGGTATGACGGCTGAGACCTTCTTGTGGTTGTTAGCGGCTTCCACCAACAACTTGTCTACTGCTGATGGGTCGTCTGCAACAGGCATCCAACACATGCGGATGAGTATGTGTGTGTATCTGTGTCACATGTATGTATGTGGCGCATTTCATGCCTGGGTGCGTAGGCTGCTTAGCTTAGCTTACCGTCTAGGTCGTATTTCTGCTGCTTCTGTTGTCGCCATGGCGGCGTCCCATATGGATCCCCTGGGGACACGCACAGCATACACACAACAGATGCATCCACGCTTCTCTGTGTGTGTGTGTGTGTGTGTGGCGCTGTTTGTGTGCTGACCCCATGGATCATCGTTAGGCCGTTGTGGGATGGGGATGGGGATCGGCACGGGCTGGGGATTCTGTGACAAACCACACACACACACACACACACACACACGCGTGTTGAATACCACACTGCTTGCTGTGTCCAAAGGGGTCTTTGTGGGTATGTGGGCAGTCAGTCCTTACCTGCGGCCAGGGGACGGGGATGAACCACCCATCGTCTGCACACAGACCAGCCAGCCAACCGCAAACACGTGCAGACATCACATCAATCAGTGGATGGGCAGGCAGGCAGCACATTCATCAGTCAGGTGCACACACACCATCATCATCGCCGGGGAAGGGCAACACATCCGGCCACCTGCAGACACAGCAGACCATCACACAAATGACAAGTAAGCGTGTCATGAACGAATATGTGGGCTTCGGTGCCTTGTGTATACCATGATGGCCGCTCCATGGTGTCAGGATCCCTCAGCGCCCGTGCGTAAGTGTCCCTCACGAGGGCGCTCAGCTGGTCGTCGCTCTCATACACCAAGTAGGACGGCACCGTCCAGTCGGGCCAATAAAATGAAGAAGAAGAAGACACCTCACGTCCACGTGACCCCCGCTGCTCGGCCGCGGCTCTCTTGACCGATGCTGCTCGCCTGCAATCCCAACACACACACACACGCACAACATGCGCCTTCACCTCAGTGGTGCATATCGGCTTGTCTGTGTGGGTGTAGTGTACCTGGTTCGTGTGTGTCTGATCCTGCTGTGTGGATGCCAGCTGCTTCGCAGCGGCAATGTGCGAAAGAAGGTGGGTTTGTTGGTGCTGTCGGTGGTGGTGGTTGTGGTGCTGGTGAAGGCGAGCACGCAGGGGAGCAAGGACACGGGAATGATCAACAGGGCCTCCATGGCCTGAATGGCACCCGCGGTCGGCAATCACGGCTGCTCTGCGGACAGCAACAACAGCGACAGAATACAGAGGATTGTCAATCGATGCCTTTTCGCGCTTGTCGCCGCCTGCTCATCTGACCTGCTCTCGCTCTGCGAAATGGCCCTAGCTCGTTTGATCTTCCCTTGCCGGCTAAGCTCGCAGACGCCTGAGCTCGCAAAAGGGAGAGAAAAAGGAGGCGAATCGGGGAGGTGGTCGAGTGAGGAGGTGCCTGTGTGTGTAGGCCACACTGCAAGATCTTGGTGCTGCTTGCCGTCGTCGATTGTCCATTGCGAAGTAAGCTTACGAGGCATTGCGGCGAGAGATCATTCATTCTGCGTGTGTGTGTGTGTGTGCTGCTTCGCTTTGGATGCAGAATGAGTCATGAGGAGGGCCAGAATGGCCCGACTGCATCGACTGCGTCCGACTCGTTGGCAGCCGTTGATGATGCGGAAGATCCCCTCACGCAGGCAATGAAGACTCTCACCGATGCCTACTGGGTACACAGAGAGAAAGGAAAGAGGCTCACCCACTCAGTCATGCTCGCACAGACCCACATCAATGAGTGGATGGATGGATGGATGTAGGTGTATCCGACGTCGCGGCCTCTGAGGGATCTGAAGAACCTGCCCAAGTCCAAGAGGAAGAAACCAACTGCAGCCACCACAGATGCCGACGGCAGACAGAGAGAGAGGTGCCCCCCACACACACCGCACATCAACACAACAACGTATTAGTCATTTGTGTGTCGGTCGGTTGATTTGCTGTGTCCCTCATTGGCTGCAAGGATCAGTGTGTCGTCCGGCCCTCCCCCCGGCCCCCTGGAAGCGATGCACATGTACGCCCCGGCACTGAGCCAGCAGATGGCCACAGACCAGTCACGGCGGGAGAACCAACACACAACTGCCACCGCCGCCCCACCGAGTCAAGAGCAGCAGCAGCAGCAGGCACCCGAGCTAGCGTCACATCAGCCCTACCAGCAATCCTCGTTGCTCGCGCCCCCCTTGGTGCTATCGCCGGCTTTGCTGCGCGAGAACCCTTCCCTTTTGGCTCAGGTGAGGGCCGTCGTGCGGCAAGCAGAGGAGGGGCACCAATCAGACGAGCAGCAAGAGGGCGGCCACGCCGCTGCTGCTGCCGCCGCTGGTGGTGGTGGTGGTGTGGGTTCGTCGGCATCTGTGGTGCTGGACGTCGGTGAGTGCTCTCTCTTTCGACGCACATGTGACACATCGCATACGGCTGCCATGGTGCTCTCTGCCTATGAGTGTGTGTGTAGGTGTGAGCGGGATGGAGGGGCTGCTGTCGTCATGGTACTACGCAGGCTACTACACTGGCAGACACGCGGTCAGTGAGAAGGATAACGAGGGAGGGAGGGAGGGAAAGAGCGAACATTGTGGATGGATGGATGGATGGGTGGCATGCAGGCGTATCAGGAGATGCAGCAGGCGTGGCAAATGCAGGCCGCAGAGCAGAGGAAGACTGACACGTGAGCGTATCGACCTGACCTGACCCAGTCAGGTCACGTGTGTGTACATATATATCCGGTGCAATGGACGCTTGACGGACTCATTGTTACAATTAGTGACATCTCCCGGCTTGGCTGTCAGTGCATCCATGCGTACAATGATTGGCGTAAAAGGTATAGACTATCGTATCACGCCTTTGGTTTGGGAAAGGCAGCATGGATACGTCAACACACACACACACACACACGTACGTCAGTCCATCAGTCTCTCAAAATGGCTGGTTGCCATCTGCTGGGATGGCCAGACGGACAGACAGACCATCATACAGACACGAGAAATAAATGAAGCCGTCTGCAGCAGCCAGCCGTCCTGGGGCATGAGAAATCAGTCAGTGGGTCATGTGCTCCAACATCAACACACAAAAAGTTGAAAGCGCACAGCATAGCTCTCTGTCCGTGCGTCTGCAGGTTCCCGTCTGCACTGCTGTGGCCGGGCTGACATGCACCCTCACTCGTCCTCAGCAATTGTGCTGCTGCCGCCGCCGTCCCCCTTTGCCCGCTTGTGCGGCCTCTCCGCCTCTCCATCGTCGCCACTTGATGCCGATGATGCGGCCGCCTTGCGCTTCTCGCCACGACTGATACCAGCACCACCAGCGGCTGCAGCAGGGGATTCACGCGATGACGACACGCCCACAGCCGCAGCGGGCACACCAGCAGACACCTGAACACATAACATGGCCTCTGTGTGTCGTTGATATGACATTGCTGCGTTACCTGTGTGGTGTGGCCGGCGATCTCTGCCAGCTCCTTGCTGAGGGCCGATTGAGCGTCGGTGAGGGTGTCCAGAATGGACGACAGGCTGCCGGCCAGCAAGGCACCATCCTGCAGGACACAGAGAGAAAAGTGAGTGCCGCTGCTCGCCTGTGTGTCTAGTGTTCTGTGCGCACCTCTGTATTGTCGGTATGTGTGGCTATGATGTTGTCTGCCCGCTCCAGGTCCGACGCTAGCTGAGGCACGAGCTGCAAGCCATACCAACACAGCGAATGTCGCTCCTTGCTGCATGTCATCTGTAGACCCCTCTTCTCTCCCCTTACCGAACGCATCGAACGTATCTTCTGCAGAAGGTCACTAGAAGAGCCGCCGCCGCCACCCTGCCCATCTGCACCACACAATCAGGACACACAAGGCATGACAGATGAAAGCTGTCCATTAGTCGCATGTGTGTGGTGACCTGCAGGGGCAGCCGGGCCGTCCCCGCTGTCTATGTCCATCAAATCGCCGCCTGCAGTGGTGGACGAGGAGAGACAGGACTGTTCTAGTGCCCTTGTGTGGCGTGTTGGTGTGTACCATTGTGTTGCGAAGTGTAACCCACCGCCGCACCTGCAGCGGCAGACGATGAGGCGGCGGCAGCAGCAGCAGGACCTACAGACAACCACACACACTGACCCGTTCATAGCTCATGCGTGTGCCGCCCCAGATTGTGCTTGCCTGCGGTCTGCCCGCCACCCTGACCACCACCAGCACCACCAGCAGCTGGGGGCAGGGCTACGTCTAGCTGGTTGCCGAACACCATCACGGGGTCGGCGGCTCTCATCACCTCCCGCACCACCGTCACTGTCTGGGGGAACCTGGCGGCTCCGACCCCCATCACCGGACGCTCCGTCGTGTAGAGGTGGACGGCGGCAAAGGTGCTGTAGCTGGTGATGCTGATGTGGGCCTCAAATTGGTGGCCTGGCTGGTCGCCGTGCAGCACTATCACGCGGTAGAAGTCTTCTAGTGCTGCCCGGTGGATGGTGCTGATAGTGCGGCAGTCCCATATGGGCGGCGGCTGACTGGCGAGATCCCGCTGAAGCGAAAAGGGACATATGACAATGAGTCAGTGGGACAGCTGGTGAGGTGCTTTGTGTGTGGCTGACCAGCTGGTTGTGGCGTGGGGCATCGTTGCGCCGGTGGACACCCTGGTACGCGACCTCAGACCCTCTATGCTGCATCCTGATCAGACACATCATGGCAGAGCGGTGCAGCCAATGTGGCGGTGTGTTTGTGTGTGTCACTCTGCTCATCTCTCTCACCGATACAACACAGCGTCGCGAACTGAAGCATACTCATACTCTGCAAACAGCAATACACCAAACACACACACACACACACACAATCCGATGACCCTGCCGCCCTCACCGTCAATCGCACACACGGGGTCCGTTGCCCATTGCCCATAGCTCTCCCCTCCCGCCCCCCTCACCATAATACTCACACACACACAGACGGGGTTGGCTGGGTCGTATCTCTCGCGGAAGGGGTGGTTGGCCGGCAGCGTCTGCAGGGTGTGGATGGTCAGCCGATGCACATCCAGCCGCTCCTCGCCGTCGAGGCGCTCGAGCTCCATGTTGAGATGGCGCTGGATGAGTGAGAGCTGCCGCAGCGCCTCACACCGCCCGTTGACCACCGCCCGGCTGCCCACCCCCTCCACATCAGCACTGGTCAGCTCTATCGGCAACTGCCCGCCTCCCCGCCCCTGATGCACAGCCACCCTGATGATGCGCACCGTCGCCGCCCAGTCGCCGCTTTTGTCGATGATGTACAGGAGCCGCTGCAGCAGATCGAGGGATGGCAGGTCATAGCTGATGACGTCCTTGAGGCCCTTGCCGGTGAGCTGCGTGTCGATTTGGGATTTGAGGAGGTCCGCGTCCACATGCTGTCTGCCGTGTTTGCACGTGCGGCGGAGGCGGGCGAGGCCGATGGACAGATCTGCGCCGAGGAAGGGGAAGATCTCGTTGTCCACCTCTGGAGGCAGATCAAACAGGCGAACGCGCTGGTCCTCCTGCAAGCGAATAACGGAGCGAAAGAGACAGAGTGATTCACTGCATCGCTATGTGCTGTGCACACACGTGTACCTGTGGCTGAGGCAAAGGGGCAGCAGCCGATGACGCTGCTGACGGCGCTGCCTGGCCCATCGTCACTCAGGCGCCCGAAGAGAAGCATGCAGACGCTCTATGGGATTCGCTGGCTCTCGTTCGAATGCTCACCAGCTGGCCTCTGTTGAGAAACCAATCAGGCTATAGCCAAGGTTATCCATCTGCGGGCCGACACATCATTTCCTCAACACCCCCCTTCGGACCGCAGAGCTAGGGTGCCCCCCTTTCCGCCTCTGCCTTTTCAAGGTTCCCAGTGTTGCCTCCAGGAATCCAACTCGCGACCCCTCCGCAGCGCTCAGCAGGATTGTTCTCCGCCCGGTTTGACCCCTTAAGGGTGTCAACCGGGGTTCGAACCGAGGTCAGTGGGCTCATAACCTGTTGAGAAACCAATCAGGCTATAGCCGAGGTTATCCATGCGGGCCGACATATCGTTTCCTCAACAGCCTCACTCTCAGCGCTCCATCTTTCTTTAGCTCGCGCATGCGCGCGATCCATCAATCTGAGGAGGCCTTGCGTTTGAGCAGGGTCAGTGCGGTGAAGGACACGCCTTACGGCTCAGACCGGCTATCTGAGTTCGAGGGAGGTATCATAATCCCTCAGGCCTTGGCCAGGTTTCCCATCGCGAAATCTCGACGATCCGCCAGCGCTGAGTTGGTCGCCCGACTCCCTCTCTCCATTCGGCACTGCGACGATGTCGTGTCTGATCTTCGGTTGCCGCGGCATTGGGCGTGCGTTGGCCATGCGGATGAGCGCCAGGGGCGTCCCGGTGCATCTGGCGTCCAGGAGCGAAGATCACCTCAAGCAGTTGGCCTCAGAGCTCCCAAACACGACGTATACGGTGTGCGACGTCACCAAGGTGAGGAACAAACATGGCAGAGAGCGGGCACGGAGCTGTCTTTCTGTATGCTGTCTTCCCTGTGTTGTGTGCGCGTGGATGCAGGAAGGTGACATCAAGAGGGCGTATGAGGAGGCGAATGACCAGGCAGGCGCCATCCAGGGACTCGCCTATGCCGTTGGTCGGTAGCCGGCTCTCATACAACACTCGTCTATCCATCTGTCTGAGTCTGTCTGTGTGCAGGTTCGATAGTCCTGAAGCCCTACAAGTCGGTGACGCGCAAGGATCTCATGCAGACCTTCGAACTCAACGCCGCATGTGCCATCGAAGCCGCCACCACATGCGCACCCACGTGAGACGACAGAGCAACGCGAACCAAGACACTCCCATGTGTCCATCGAGATGTGTCCTGTATGTGTGCAGCCTGAAGGATAGCGGTGGGTCGATTGTGCTGTTCTCCACCGTTGCGTGTCACGTGGGGCTTCCCAACCACACCATCATCGCCGCCGCCAAGGGTACACGGACACACACATATGGCACATGGCACAGGAATGTGCTCATCGGTTGACACCTGCAGGTGCTGTGGAGTCGGCTACTCGCAGCCTGGCGGTGGACCTGGCGCCAGACGTGCGCGTCAACTGCATCGCACCCTCACTCACACGGTTACACATACACAGTGGGTGTATACGCGTTGCCTGGACGCTTCTCCCTGGTGTGTGTGCAGGTCGTCCCTATCAGCGAGCATGACCAAGAGTGAGGCGATGGCCAACGCCATCGCCGCCATACACCCGCTGGGCAGGATCGGCGAGCCTGACGACATCGCGTCACTGGCCGCCTTCCTGCTTACCAACGAGGACAGCGGCTGGATCACCGGACAGGTCAACGACACAGATGAACAGCGTTGCATTATGTGCTAGAATACTTACGGGCGATGTGTGTGTGGATGGATGGATGGATGGATGGATGGATGGATCAGGTGATTGGTGTGGATGGCGGGCGGAGCACTCTGTCACCTGCAGCGCCGGCTAAAGCGAAGAAATGAGGCGGCTCTGTCGGCGTGAGCGTGCTCGAGGGTCCCCCGCTGTTGTGGATAGATAGGAGTGACCTTACCTTTCTCGTGTATGCCCTAGCTATGTAGCTGTAGCAGGTGTGCTTTCATCGGTCGCAGACCACAGTGACTCTCCTTCGCTCCTCGATATGCTATGCTTGGTTGTATGTACATACGTCTGCGCATGCTCAAGAACATCAGCGAGAGCGTCTGCTTTTGGTCAAGAACATCCCAAGACTCGAACTCGAGCTGGGTTTCGAGTCTGGGATGTTCTTGGCAATGAGCAGACGCTCTCGCTGATGCAGGAACCGGGGATCACACACACGCATACGTGAATGATGCCCTCCTACTGACGGCTCGCATCCAACCAATATGCGGCCGTAATGAACGTCACGTGAACCACCAAATGCGCACACCACACCGCGCACACACGTGCTGTTCCATCGATAGGCTCCAGCTCCTAACACACCGGCCAAAAAAAGCATTCACATCTCGGTCTGTACATCATTTAGCATGGGGTGGGTTGGCCATCAATCAGTCGAGGTGCTCAGAGGCCTTCCTGAGCTCTGCCGATATTTCCTCGTCCGTTATCCACCTGGGCACACACACACCGCATGCACCAGACGCTGCAGACAGGTGTCAGAAGAGATGGTGAGAATGTACATACCGTTGTGGCGGAACTTTGGCCGAGCCCTTCCTCCGTGTGGCGGATGACACATGCACCTCTGCTGGCGACCGCACCTGGCCACTCATCCGCTCACACGCAGGCTGCTGCGCACCTGCAGCCATCAAAGAATGCACACACGTGAAGGTGAATGGAAGGCACGGATGTGGCTCTTTCTGGCGATGTGTCTGTGTGTCCTACTTTCGATGGCTCGTTGCTCCAGGCGCCGCATTTTGACCTGTGCGATCGTGGTGGCGAGCTGGGGCAGGAGGCCCTGGCGCTCCTTCTCCTTGTGATAGCTGACACCACACAACAATCAGGCTCGTAAGTACCGTACCTTAGTACGCGGCAGCTGCTGACTGTCATCAGGACGAATGCCTGTCTGTCAGTGCATGTCTGCTTGCCGTTTGTTTTTTCTGTCGCCGATGTCCAGTTTGATGTGCTCGATCTCCACCCTCTTGGCCCGCCCACCCACACGCAACCCCTGACACACCGCAGATGGACACAAAGACAGACAGACAGACAGAGCCGTGTATCACGGCAGCCGCGAAATGATTGGTGCGTACTTGTAGTTGCTTGAGAAGGTAGCCGAGCTGCTCGTTCTGGAAGTCGACGGCATTGACGCAGTTGGTGTAGCTCACGCTGACACGCAATGCACCGCACCCATACACACACACAGAAAGACAGTGAATCAATGTGCGTGTTGGTCGTACTATCATGCCCACCCACCCCATGTGGTCGAGCTGCTGCCTCTCCTGGTCGGTCATGTAGGGCACATGTGCCTCCCAGTCGTCAGAGTGAAAGAAACCATACACCTGCCCACCACACACACAGAGATAAACAACGAGAAGCATGAGTCAAGGTCCGATCTCTTCCCACATGCGTCACGCACCTGGTCTGTCTGTGTGCGGCGCTGCTCGACGGACTCGTAAGACTCCTCCTCGACACACGCATCTGCCAAACCAACACACGCATTCACCATCCACACACGCTGAATGCGGGCACCCGTCGCGATGGATCTTTTGCACCTTCTTCCTCTGATTCAGATCCCAACACGTGCTTGAACAGCCACAAAGCCATGTCCTCTCTGAGGGAGAGAGCGGTTTCACGAAATGAGTCGCGAAAGCTTCTGATAACGGCAGCGGCGGTTGAGAGAGAGAGCTGTTGTGAGCTCAGAGAATGATGGATGAGCATTCTTGGCACCTTTCCGGATGCTGTGGGTGCCAGAGGAGGCGGCCTCCACTGACCGGCCGTACTGACATCTGAGTCGGTGAGCATTGAGATGAGAGGAATGGCCAGCTGGAGGGATCGGACGCACTGTGCCTCTGCACTCTTGTTTGCAGGCGTGTTTGGCCAGCGCGGCGCCATGGCTGCAGCGGCATCTTCATCCGCTGCCGCCGACCTCCCGCAGCCACAGGTACTCCATTCACTCTCTCATTTGGTTGATTGGTTTGTCGGTTCCATCCATCCATTCATCAGATGCTGCCGTCGTCCCACGAGCGCTACAAGAACGGCACGCGTGTGTGGATGGTGACGGCCAAGCGGGAGAAGGGCACGCAGGAGTGGGTGACGGCCGACGTCTATCGCACTGAGGAGACCAACGGGGCCACGAGGGTGTCCATGAGGGAGGTAGAGGGGACAGAGGAGTTCACTGTGGTGGTGCCGCACCAGGCCAAGGCGTCGCCGCACGGCCAACAGGTACTTCACTCAGTAGGCAGAGCTGCCTCCACCTCCACTGCTTAATGATCCTGTCTGTGTTGTGTCTGATGTGATGTGTGTGCAGGTGCATAAGGGCTTCAGGTTCGTCAAGACGGTACCTGTGGAGCAGCTTGTAGATGAGGATACTGACAGCGGCACGGTATTCAGGCAGCCACAGACACACGATTGAATCAAGCAGCCCACACCGCCTCCCTCCTCTCCGTTGGTTGCCTTGTTGTTCTGTCCGGCCATCAGCCTCGTCTGTTTAAGCTGCCCCAGGAGGTCGAGAAGGGCGTCCTCTTCCCCCTCCTCGGCGGCGACCTGGCCATCAGCCTGGCCCGCGTCCGCACCACATGCCGCCTTGGCGGAGAGCGGGTCTCTGCGGACCTCCTCAGATCGCTGATCGACACACAGCTGACCGGCAAGGGCCTCAAGGACATCATCAGCTATGACCTGCCGTCTGTCGGTCAGCTGCAGCGGCTCCTGCACATCATCCAGCAGAGCGGCGAGTGGGCGGCAACGGTGCCCATCATCAGAGTGGCCAAGCACCAGGGGCGGGGAGGGGGGCGGTTGCCGATAGAGCTGGACAGTGCTGATGTGTACGGGGTGGGCAGCCGGGCGGTGTTCGACGGGCGGTGTGAGGCGCTGCGGCAGCTCTCTCTCATCGGCCATTACGTCGGTGTGACGCTGCGGCGCGTCAATGGCGAGGAGCGGCTGGGTGGGGAGGGGCTGACCATCCACACGCCAGATACGCTGCCGGCCGACCATCCCTACCGCGATGGATACGACTCGGCCAACCCCGTGTGTCAGATTGGAAGTGAGGGCGGGAGGGAGGAAGGGAGAGAGCTATGAGTGATGGGTGTGTGTCTGTTTGCAGTCTGTGAGTATGCTTCAGTTCGCGACGCTGTGTTGCTTGAGTGAGAAAGATGAGCAAAATGATACACATAAACACATTGGCTGCACCACTCTGCCATGATGTGTCTGATCAGGATGTGCTGGGGAGGGTCGGTGGTCGCGGACCAGTTGGTGTTGCAGGATGAAGATGCCCCAAGCTACGAGCGACTCGTCAGTCAAACACACACACACACACACACAATTGCCTCACCAGCTGTCCCACTCACTACTCATTGTCATATCTCCCTTTCCCTTCAGACATCGCTCGCCACTCAGCAGCCTCCAGTATGGAAGTGCCACACCATCGGCACCAGCCACTTGGGGCTTGGCACAGAACTAGAACGCTTCTACCGAGTGATAGTGCTGCACGGCGACCAGCCCCACCACACATTATTCGAGGCAACCATCTACATCCGCAGCAACCCCACCTTTGCCCACGCCTTCCTCTACACGACGGAGCGACCGGTGGATGGCAAGGAGGGAGCCGCCACATTCCCCCAGACAGTGAGGGTGGCGCGGCAGCTGATGGGGGACGATGCCGTGGTGGCGTTCGGCAATCAGCTGGACGTAGCTGTAGACAAACACTAACTAATCTCTCAACTCTCGCGTGTACAGAGAGTCTGCCTGTCTGTGTGTCTGTCTGTCTGGCTGGCCACGGCAGCAGATGGGAGGCCGACAGGCAGGCAGGCAGGCAGGTGTGTGTGTGTAGTCGAGAGACTGACTGACAGCTTTGTTCGTGGCGGGGTGGGGTGCATGGGACGGAGTGGACGGACTTTCTTAGCAACGGGATGCAATGGGGATCCTCACTGTCTCCCCCACAGACACATGGTCACCGACGCCCAACACACACACACACCAATCTCATCTCTGTTGACATATTGCCAGACGTCGAATTTATAGGCAGCGCCTCTTAAGTACACAAACATCGGTCTATCCATCTCACACACGTACACACATAAGTACCGACACGGCCAGGGCCAATGAATGCGACACAAGGGAACACACATCCATGACGCCCACAGCTGCACCCATGTGTGTGTGTGTGTGTCTGTTGTCCACAGCAGCCCTTGATGCCCCGCGACTCTGACAGACACACGCACAGACAGACAGACAGACAGACACACAGACATCCACAGATGCGTGCTCTTGTTGTGTAGACTGAAATTTCGTTTTACAGCAACACCGCTGCCTACATTTTATTATATCTTTCTTGTGGGGGGTGTGTTTGCATTGATGTGATGTTTGTGTCGCGGATGGACCTTATGCAGGTGTGGACGAGCCACGGCTTTCCCGTGCGTGTGATAGATTGAATCCATGTGCACACATTTCTTACGTCTCGCTGCGCTGACACAACATTCAGTCCGTAAGTCGCTTGCTCACCCACTCGCCCCCTCGCTCACAGTCTCTCTCGTTGAGTGTCTCTCCCCTCCCTCCCTCCCTCCCTCCCTCCCCCTCTCGAGGAAGAACCAGCATTCATGCTCCCACGAGGAGCCCCACTCGCCACACCACACTAATCAGGCCATATGGCATTCAGCATCTCACACAATCAGAACAATCAGAATAGAATGGGCAGCTCAGTTGCCGCGACAGAGCTGCGACAGGTGTGTGTGTATGTATGTGTGTAGAGGAGAGGATAGAATGTCGGGAAAACTATGCGGAGGAGCGTGGCGTGACAGAGAGGATAGAGAGAGTGAAGAGTGAGAGCCGAGAACTTACAGACAGACAGACAGACAGACAGCACTAGAAGCAAAAGAGCACACTCAGATAATAACCAAATTATGCCTACTACCCTAATGGGATTGCGATATTCATCAGCCGTGGACGGTAGGCGTCCCTCCCCGCGTGCCTCCTTTGCAGCACACGGACACGACACGCAACCACCACACCGCATCGCATCCTCACCTATATCACAAAAGTACAGCAAAACCCCCTAGCTTGTGGATACGCGCACGCGCACGCACACGCACACGCACAGATGTGAGTGTATGCACAGACAAATTCTAGAGCCACAAGGGGGTAGAAGATGCTCGTCTTGACTAACTTGAAGAAGACTTGGTCAACTACTCAACTTGAATCCAACCACTGTCTGGCTCCACTGCAAGCCACAACAGACATACACACATGCACATGGCCTCCCCCTTCTAGATACCCCTCCCTCCCCCACTGTGTGGTTCCCACTGCTTACCGAGGTTGCATCTGATCTCTCCTGGCATGTTCTCGAGGGTGTGAATGTTGACATATACCTGCTCGGCCGCGATTGCCGCAATCAAAGCCGACAGCTCCTCTCCCTCGAGAGCATTGACGAGGTCATCGCCGTCGAATATTCCATCTGCCGGCAAAGCAAATGCACCCGTCCGTCCATCGCGCGCCCACACGCGCACACACGCTCACACGTACCTCTCACGACCACGCCATTCAGGATAACCGGCTCTCCGGGCTTCAGTGGCGCATTGCCCGAGTTGGGAACTCCGGTGAGGCCGACATCCGACAGGGCACCATCGAAGTTGCGGAAGTTCAGAGGCAGGATGAAGCCCACAACGTCGCCGGTGCACGGAGCACTGCTGTCATCGGCGCCGGCCGCTGTGGGTGTGCCGGTGAGTTCGCCCTCAGTGCAAAGGTGGAAGTGAACGCCAATCACATCCACGATGTCATTGAGAATCTGCAAGCAACACAAGGAGAGGCCGGTCAGGCGCGTCTCAGTGCATCGTCGGCACGTACGCACCAGGTCGAGTATAAGCTCCTTGCCCGTGAAGACGAAGCGGAAGAGGCCCGTGGCATTGGTCTCGCTCGGGATGGGCTGCTCGAACTCCGGAAGGCATTCAAACTCGAAGGGAACATTGATCTTGCTTGGAGGGTCCTGCTCCTGGACGCCGGACTTCGCCGCCAGCTGATCCTTGACGTCTTTCTCCGGGGCCAGCCACTGGAGGGGGAAGGGCAGGTCTGGCTTCTCTCCTGCCGTCGCCACACATGCTGATGAGAGGGCGATGAGAACGGCGACGCACAGACGCTCCATGGGCCTCTCGTGTGCGGAAGGGAAAAGTACGAGAGAGAGAGAGAGATGTCGTTTTTTTGCTCCGAAGTTGTACAGTGTGTGGTAGATTCGCCGTCGGGGCCGCTGAAATGCTAGGATTACGATGGGCGCTAATCGCGTCTCATGCACCAGACGCGGCGCACACAGTCCTTTCCTCCCTCTTTGAGGCAACACATCAGCTTGTCTACAGCCCTCTCCCTCCGTCGCTTCATTCGCAGGCCACTCTCACAGACCGGTCAGCCACATATATTGCGCGCGTCTGTCGTCATTCATCATCCTGCAATCGCGCTGATCTCATTGGGGTCCAGCCTGATGGCAGGGCCCATCGTGGTGCTCAAAGTGGCCTTCCTGAACAGCTTCCCTGCACACAACACAGCAAGTCAGGAACAGCCAGGTCGGTCGGTTGTGGTTGGTGTGATTGATTGCCCTCTCCCTTCCTTCTGTCTGCCCACCCACCCACCCACCTACCCCACCTGATGCGGAGGCAGGCCTGTTGTTCTTGACGGACACGAGGAGGGCAGCGAGGTTCTCCCTCAGCTCCTTGGCGCCGGACGTCACCTTCCCGATGCCCATGTGCAGCACGCCCGTCTTGTCGGCACGGTACTGATACGTCTCACGCCTGCCACCCACAGGAAGGACACGACACACACGGTGTGTGTGGCTGCCTGCCCCTCTCCCTCCCGTCCTCCCTCCCCCCGCCACACAGCACACCTGAATCGCTGGACGGCTTCGTCGAAGTCATCAGTGACGGTGCCCATCTTGGCGGTGGGCATGAGGCCCTTCGGCCCGAGGATCTTGCCGATCCGCCCCACCTTGGCCATCACGTCGGGCGAGCAGATGAGGATGTCGAAGTTGATCTGCCCCTCCTGGATGGAAGCGATCATTTCCTCACCGCCGACCTCGTCGGCGCCAGTGGCGGTGGCGAGCTCCTCCTTGCCAGGCGACGTGATGATGGCGATGCGACGCGTCTTGCCCAGGGAGTGCGGGAAGGTCACCTGAGCCCGGACGGTCTGGTCGGACCTGACACACACAACCACAGGCCATGTGATGCGTATCGTTGTGAGCCTCGCGAGCCTGTCTTCTCCTCACCGTTTGGGGTCGATGCCAAGGTTGAGGTGGATCTCCACTGTCTCGGTGAACTTGGCTTTGGCGAACTTCTTGGCGAGCTCAATCCCCTCCGCCACAGAATGCTCCTCCTCCTTGTCCGGCAGATCGTCGGACACGTCTCGCCACCTCTTGCTGAGCTTCTCATTCCCCCGCACCAGCACTGCAGGCCGTTCAGTGAGCGACGGGCGGGATGACGGGCGGGGCGGGGCAAGCGCAGAGGGAAGGGGGGCGAAAGCTGACGAGTGGGAGTCAAGGCGGCGGCCGAGGGCGAGAGAAATGAGGGCCAGGAGAGGCAGGATGAAGTGAGGGAGGGGGAGGGTGCGTCGAAAGACGGAGATCTTGACCATTCCTCTGCACAATGGTGCTGCACTGCAGGTATCCATCATCACTTCTGCGTTTCCTTGTTCCCAGAGTGATGGCTTCAGAAAGCTCGCTGCAAGCTGTAGCTCGCAACAGAGCGAAAGCGAAGGGAGGGAGATTTGTCATGTGTGAGCAGATGTGGCCACTGTCTGTGCGTCAACCATCCTAATCTGGCCCCTTGGCGTCGCCGACGAATCTGTGTAGCTTCGCTAACGTGTGACCAGGTTGGGTGGGGACACAGCTGGCTCGCCAGATAGCTGGCAACATGACGGAGAGGCCGACCTGAGTGCTCTTTTGTCTTTGTGTCGTCATTGTCAGGCCTGCAAGCAGCGATATCTGTTGACGGAAACGCACGACGCCTTCTGCCGAGAGCGGAGGTGGGAGAGGCCGAAATTGCCCACGAGAAGGCCGCAGTGGGTGTGTCTGTGCTTCAGGTAGCCTTGTTGATTGGTGATCTGTCATTTTCGTCCCTTCCCCAGCCCCCACAGGATAGGATGATGGCCGAGCAACTTGCGGCCGAACCCTACTCCCAGCCTCCAGTCGCCGCCCCCACCCACCCCACCGCGGCCAACGGCAGCGGCGCCGGACAGCAGCAAGAGCAGCAGCATGACGAGTCCATAGATCAGTTCAACGGCTTCACGGGCATCGGCCCGGTGCAGTCGGACATCGGCGGCAACGAGACTCCCCATCGGTCGGTGTCGCAGGTCGACGTCGTCCCCGGGGGGGAGCCAGAGCCAGAGGAGGGGCCGCAGCGTAAGTCGATAAGGAGAAGGGGGTGCGTACCAGTGAAAGGGAGGGAGGGCGTCTTATCCGTCCTGTTGTGTTGTGTGTGTGGGTGTATGTGTGTGTGTGGTGTAGTTGACATAGCGTTTACGACTATCCAGAACGATGCCACGGATGAGAGCTACCGGAAACTGGTGGCCCTCAAGGTCAGACACTCTGCCTGCCTGCCGGCCAAGCAGCCAGCAGCTATGCCCCCAACGACACTGACCCACTGTCTCTCTCTCTCTCTCTCTGTGTGTGTGTGTGTGTGTGAGGATGGTGCAGACGCTGTATTGCTCTCGGATGCCGGAGCTTGACGCGGCGTTTGTGTTCAAGATAATCATGGATCGGTCCTACAACTCCTTCTGTCTCATCAAGGGCGGACAGATCATGGGCGGCATCACATACAGGACGTTCCTCGAACGCGTAAACCACCCACGCCCCATCCCCCGACCCACCCACCCACCCACCCACACGCCCACACGGCAAAGGCAAACGAGATGTCGACGTGGCTTTGTGTGTGTCTGTGTGTGTGTATGGGCGCAGGGGTTTGTTGAGCTGGCACTGCTGGCCATCGGCCCTGAGGCGCAGGCGCAGTACCAGGACTGCGGGAGCGTGTTGCTGGCGCATCTCAAGGAGAACCTCAAGAGCCTCCAGATGGCCGATGACCAGCGGCTGGAGTGCCTCGTCACGTTCGCCGACAACGGCGCACTCTCCTTCTATGAGAGACAGGTCAGCCGACCTCACCTCACCCCACCTCACGCAGTGCAAGGGAGTGCGGACACTTTGTTTGTGTGTGTGTGGCTGTCAGGGTTTTTCTTCCCACCTGCGATGGCCGGTGGAGAACTACAGTGGGCTGATCACGCACTATGAAGGAGGTGGGGCGGTGACCATGGGATACACCACACCACATGATACCATACCACACCACATGGGGGCGCTCACCTGCCTGATTGGTTTGGCTCTTTCTCCCCTGAGCAGCGACGTTGATGGACTGCCCCATCAGCCACGAGATCGACTACATCGAGCAGCTTCTGCAGGCCGAGCAGGTAGCCAAACACACACACACACACACACATGAACGGGTGGAGTCACATGGCGCTTACACTCTGTGTGTGTGTTTGTGTGTGTCTGTCTCTTTGGTGCGTCTCGTCTGTGTCTGCAGCAAGAGGCCGATGACGGCATCCACGACCACAAGAGCACCAAGAAGATCAACATCCCTCAGTTCAGGTGTGCAAGACACGAACGAACAAGCCGTCCGTTGCTGCATTTGTGTACCTGCCTGCCTGCCTCCCTGTGTGTGTGTGTGTGTGTGTGGTCTCTGCTGGTAGGCATGAGTTGCGTCAGAAGACTGCGGGCGATGCCGAGGTGGTCCTCGCAGATCTCGAGTTCGACGGTATAGCCACAACACAACACAGACACTTGACACGGATTTTCCCCTCTCTGGTGTGTGTCGCGGATGGCAGACAATGACATCCCTGAGGCGTGGGAACTCAAATACGGCATTATGGTGCGCACACACGACCACACACACACACAGACACACACACCACATCAACCGTCAGCCTGCACGAGTCTCTCCTCGGTTCTTGTGTCTGGTGTTCAGAATGTCTACAACCAGATCCTGCAGGAGCGCGTCCGCCTGCAGTCGCTGCCTGACCCAACGTAAAGACCCACCACCACCACCACACACAGACCCAAACACACGCCTCCCTCTGCTCTGTGTCGCTCCTACCTTGGTGCAGGGAACCGACTGACGATCCGTCCATCGCCCGAGCCAAGAAGATGCTGCACGCCCGCTGGGAGGACTACAGCCGCCGGTTCAAGGCCATGGTCCACTGGTCGGCCGTCAGGCGGGGCTTCATCACCGGGCACAGCGACGTCACCCGCCCCGTGGGCGTCGACACCCCCGGCGAGGGCCGGTGCAGCGTCTGCTTCGGGCCGGGCTACCAGTGGGACCGCACCAACCCCCTGCTCACCTGTTCGGCCTGCGGGGTTTCCGTGCACAAGCACTGCTACGGCATCAGCGACCGGGAGTGCCTCAAGAGCCAGCAAGCGGGGGGCCAGTGGCTGTGCCAGCCCTGCCTGTGGAAGCAGAAGCAGAAGTCGCAGGGGCTGCCGGTGCCGGACGGGCCGCTGACGTGCCTGGCGTGTCGGCGGAAGGGCGGCGCGCTGCGCAAGGCGAGCAACCACGAGTGGGTGCACGTGACCTGTGCCCTCTGGCTGATGCCCGAGGCCGTCTGCCAGAACCTCGAAAAGATGGAGGGCTGGTCCTTCGAGCACCTGGCAGAATGGAGGCACAAAGAGGTCGGTTCGCAAACTAACACGACCAAGCCCAGCCCACAACGGCCCATCTCTCTCCTCTCCCCTTTCGTCAGATGTGCTCCCACTGCCGCAATCGCGGCGGGTTTGTGGTCAAGTGCGCCTATGTGGGCTGCCTGACGATGGTGCACCCTATGTGCGCATGGCGCGAGGGGCTGTTCGTGCGAGCGTTCGAGTCCAACCAGTACCTCTATTGGGAGGGCAAGGCCGACAAGTGCTTCCCGCAGCTCAAGATTGAGTACTTCTGCAACAGACACACTCCACAGCCAGCCGGGGGACCCCCGAGGTCAGTGGCCAGGGCGGCGGGGGAATGCGCGAACGACCCGTTGAGAGTGTCTCTGTGTGTGTGTGTGTGTGTTCTTCCCCTGGTTGGTTCAGGGACACCGAGCAGCAGCGTCAGTTCCGTGAGTCGCTCAACGAGGAGGAAAACGAGAACATGATTCAGGTGAGCCTTGACGCACTCTCACCACGCCCCCCCAACCCCCCCGCCCACACCACACACACACACACACATCCATCCATCCATCCATATGTCATCCCCTCTGTGTGGTGGATTCCATGCACACACAGCGTTTCCATGCCCGCTTTATCTCTCAGGAGCGTCACGAGGCCGGCGCCCGCCGCGGCTCCCGCCCCCGCATTCGCACATCCAGCGACGACGAGGACTGGTCCGAGGCCATGCACCACGAGGCCCCCAAGAGACGGCGGCAGCGCAGCCGAGACGACCTGGGCAGCGACGAGGACGCGGAGCCACGGGCCCGCATTCTTGGTGCCCGCACCAAGAATGCGCGTGGCGGCAGGAAGGACCACCCCTGGGCACACTGCGACTCCTGCGGCAAGTGGCGGCGGCTGCCGGGCATCGAGTCCCGCGAGTTTGCGGACCTGCAGATGATGCACCACTGGGAGTGCGCCATGAACAGGTGGGACCCCGAGAAGGCCAGCTGCGACGCGCCCGAGAGCGACCCCGGAGGAGGAGGAGGAGCGGGCAGCCGCAAGGGCGGCAGCCGGCGTGAGCGTGACGAGGGCGACGAAGACGCCTTCATGGACGAGGACGTCTTGATGCTCGAGGAGGCCAGGGAGAGAGAGCGGAAGCCGCCCAAGCACAAGAAGAAAAAGAAGCGCGCGGCGTCCGCCGAGGGCTACGACGGGCCGCCGATGGACATCAACACGGCGCAGCAGATGTACCCCGAGGCCTTCATCCCTCTCAGCAACCCCAAACTGCGGCAAAACCCAAACGCAATCAGACACCGCATCTGCACTGCCTGCGGGGTGAGCTGAGCCAGCGATGAGCGTAGCAAAGCATGGGTGGGACTCAGAATCGAACGAACGGGTGACTGACTACGTCTTGGTGTGCGTGTGCCGGTGTGTGGTGTGATTCATTCAGCAAACTGCCAGTGCTCAGTGGCGCTTCTGGGACAACTACCTCGTCTGCAACAAGTGCTGGATGCGCAAGCGAAGCGCCAGGAGGCGCGGACTGGTCAGTCAGTGACAACACAAACAAGGTTTCATGCCCCCCGCTCCCTCCCTTATATGTGTGTGATGTGTGATGTGTGATGTGTGGTGGCGTCATGTGATGGATCCAGCCCGACGAGACGGTCAACGCGCAGATCGCCGCTGAGGCCATGAAGGCGGCTGCGACGTCGGGCAGCTCCAAGCGCAGCAAGTCCTCCAAGAAAAGGGATGAGGACGACGACCTCTACCACCCCAACGAGGACGCTGGCGCACCCCCGCCCCCACCATCATACCACCACTCACCACGCACCCCCGCTCCCCCACACCACCCCGACCACCACGAGTACCCCCAGCGGCAGCAGCAGCCATATGGATCAGCAGCAGCAGCGGACGTGCCCAACGGCACAGGCGACATGGGCCTCGGCATCTCCCAGCACCAGCAGGAGCATGAGGCGGCCATGGCCATGGTGGCTGCGGCTGCGGCTGCTGGGGGCGTCGGGGGCTATGCCGCTGTGGCTGGGTGGTCCCAGGAGGGTGTGGGTGCTCATGGGGAGGCCGAGGGCGGCGCAGAGGGGATGGGGATGGAGCCCAGCCAGGATAAGGTATCGTGACACACACACGGACAGACAGACAGACACACACACACACACATGAGCACGCCTCGGTGTGGTTGTCTCGTGCGGTGTTCAGGGCTATTCGGTGGTCCCCGCCCCAGGCGTCATGGGGGGCGGCGGCATGGCGGCCGCGTCGCAGCCGGCATTCCAACACCCACACCCACTCCCACTCCCGCCTGCACACACACACCACGACGCCGTCATGTGACGACGTGATTTGACTGTTGCCGATCGCACACACACACACACACACGCAGCGACCGACCAGCGGCTGTGCTGTGCCCCCGTCATCTTTTTCTTCTCTCCATCTTTCTCTAGTATGTCTGTGAATTTGCCTGCGTCTGGTGGCGTGGCGTGCGGTGTCTTGACGTCTTGTTGCGACGGCGGGAGGGAGAGAGGGAGAGGGGGAGAGGGAGAGGGAGAGGGGGAGGGTGTGTGGCCTAGTGCGTAGAGAATGCCAAAAGTGCAGACAAAAGGCCGACTGCCTGCGCCCCTGTGCCCTTTTGACCTTGAGAAGTGTCATGGTGCATCTTCCTCCCGACGCGACCGACGCATGGGGGAAGGTGCGCCGTGGCATGACCGAGGAGAAAAGGCCACAGGGCGCGGCGCAGACAGACAAGCGATGAGAGGAGCGACAGACATGGTGCGTAGTCTTAATACAGGGTGCCTGTACAGCGAAACAGCCAGACAGACAGACAGACAGACAAGGATGGATCCATGAGTGCTTTGAATGGCATGTGTGTGTTGACGGAGACAGGCAGGGAGGCAGGCAGGTCAGAGGCAAGTAGATAGACCTCCACCTGACCCTCTTTCTTGCGAGCTGATGGATGCCGGTCCGTGCAGTTTCAATTTGAGTCACCGAGTGCCCGTCTCTCTCCCTCCCTCTCTCTCTTTATGAGTGTGGCTGAGCGATAGTGATCCTAGAGTGCGTTCGATGGCGCCAATTAGCAAGGGGAGGGCGTCACGATGGCACACACACACGCACACACGCACTGGTGGTCGATGGAGAGCAATTAATAAAGGGTGGGTGGGGTCACTGGCTAGTCGTTGCTTGCTTGTTCCTTGATGATGGTCTGCACCGCTTGTTGTGTGGTGCTGCGTCTCTCTTCTCTCTCTCCCTCTCTCTCTGTGTGTGTGTGTGTGTCTCTGTGGATTGTGCATTAGACAGCCGGCCTGCCTCTGCCCAGCTGCTGCTGCTGACGTGACTAAATGTTAATGTACCATTCCTTGAGTCATCGGACACCACGGCCACACACACACACACACACACACACAGACATGACACCTGTCTGTCTGAGCAGCGGAGCACACGACAGCAGCCAGGCCAAACTTGGGGCGAACCATCTCAGCAGACACACACAGCAACAGCAGAGCGGATGAGAGAGTGGAAGGATGAACGCGACGCGGCAAAAACTAGAGAAGCAAGCCACAGCGAATTCCTCTCTTTACCTACCGTACCTCACTCACTGACAGCTTTCTTTCTTCCTGGACGCAAATTGATCAGAGTATGCACAGCCACAAGCCCTCGATCGAATCATCGACAGCATACCCAGCAGCAGACAGACCAGCAGATAGACGGAGAGAAGGAAGAAAGGTATTCACAGCCACCCATCCCCCCACCCCCACCCACCTCACTCAGAGAGAGGGAGAGAGGGAGAGAAGAGAGCAACAGCTTGCTAGCGCAAAAAACTTCCACCGTCTGCACAGCCACCC